GACGTTTCACCTGGACATTCAGATCCTTGGGGTCTATGCACAACCTAAGTTGACCTGTCTTTTTTCTTACAATAACCAGTGGATGAATCCACTCAGCGCCATCGGTTGCGTTTTCAATGATTTTGTCTTGTTCTAATTTGTCCAAAGCTTTTTTGAGATCTTCCCTAATGGCAAATGGTACTGTTCTTGTGGCATGAACTACTGGCTTTGCATTTTCTTTGAGTTCAATTTTGTATGATCTGTCAAGAAAACCTATACCCTTAAAAAGATGCCTATACTTGTTCAAAACAGAAGAAGTGCTGTCAATTGCTTGGATATTATTGATCCTTTGTATTAAATTGAGCTCGATACAAGAATTCAGACCCAAAATTGGACAACTGTCTGTTTTCACCACAAAGATTACACTCACCTAGGACATTCAATTCATTATTGGTATATGAATTGAGTTTCACCTTTGTTTTGCGAACTTTATCAAAGTTAAAATCTATCCTTCTAAGAGCCTGTTCAGGTATGACATTGACCATTGCACCTGAGTCAATTTTCATAGAGATTGGATTGCCTCCTACTAATAGTTCTACTGACCATGACTCCCCACAGCTGTTGCCCCTTCCATCAACTGCATCAATCTTATCTAAAAACATAAAATCCAAGGAATCATCTGAATTGGCATCAGAGTCATTGTCTATGGCATGTATTTTCCTCACATTGGGTTTTTTATTTTTAAAACAACTTGAACTGAAATGATTTTTACCTCGACATATATTACAGACCTTGCCATAAGCTGGACATTTGCCCTTTTCATGTTTATAAGTGCATCTTGTACATTGAAAATTACTCTTTTTGTAATTAGAGTAATCAAAATTACTCTTTCTAAACTGTTTTTTGAAGTTTTTGTTACAATACCTCCCTTTTTTGACCTGATCTACCTGTTCTGTGAAGGTACTACCTGAACCATTGGAAATTATTTTATTCTTCTCCTTAACACTCTCGCTCGTAACACAAATTTTGATTGCTTCTTCCAGTCTCTCGCAGTCAGTCTGCAACAGTTTCTCCCTTAGGCGATCTGATTTTACCCCGCAAATAAGGATATCTCTGACAAGGCTCTCTCTCAAATCGTTAAACTCACAGGAAAGGGAAAGATTCTTGAGTTCCGTTATGTATTGCTCAATAGTTTGTCCATCCAACTGCTTTTAAGTTAAAAATTTGTGTCGTTCATAGGTAAGGTTGCGTTTTGGATTGAAATGCTCATCGAATTTCTTGATTAAGACCTTGATTTTGTCTTTTTCTTCGTTTGAAAGTTCGAATGTATTGAAAATACGCATGCCTTCATCACCAATCAGCGTAAGAAGCTGGGCACACTGGGTCTTCTCCTCCTTTTTACATATCTCCGTTGCTATCAGATAAGTCTCGAACCGCTGTCTCCAGAATTTCCAATTCTCGGAAAGGTTGCCGGACATTATCATCGGCTGAACACCTCGAAATTCCATTATAGCGGACCAGGAGGCTGATATGCAGTTCAAAGGATGTTGGTAATGAATTTTTTCGTCCAAGACTCTCCAGACTGTCTTTTTGGCCTGGCGTGATATTTGTCGAAAGTGTGGTTAGGTTACATTTCTCACCATTTGTCGTCGGAAAAACAGCAAATTTCCGCTGGACTACATGGATGATGGTCGATTCTTATTTTTGGAGCGTCGATTGCTAAGACTGCGCCATGTTATATGTTACTTTTGGTGAATTATTGGGATCGGTTTTGGAAGTCTCATTGATAGGCAGAATGGCGATTGACAAGTGCTTTATTTCGACAGTCGACATGAGACATGACATTTGTATGACTTGTGACTTGTGACAAATAGTTTACATTGGTGACCAATATATGGCAGACGTCGCTTGTGACGTCACCATGACAATCTCCAGCAATTGAAGACTTGAAGTTATTCTCAAGATCGAATCATTGCAACCAACATTTATACAAGGATTCTAACTGTGCTTCAGAAAATGTATATTATATCATTATAAGGTAGGTACTGGCTTCTTCATTGTAAACAATAAGAGTTCATGCAATAATTCGAGTTTTTTCATCAGGGAAAAATGAGGTTCTGGAATATGCACTTCAACAAATAAATTATTTCCAAATAAAACACAGAAACTCAAAACAATTGTCGCCATATTTGTTGTTCATACTCGCAAGACTTGTAAAGTTAGCCACCAGAGGCCGCACACTTCGTGATTTTCGCGAATGTTTGAAACAAATTTTGGATTGGAATTCGAAAGATTCGCGAATTTCAGACTTTAGTTGAAAACGTGGTGACAAGGAGACTGAAGATACCTTTGAAAGAGGTTGAGAGGCTGTATAATAATATGGTGTGTATTATTCAAAGCTGTGTGAAGTCAAGAGTGGATATAAACAAACAAATGTTATAAAAAGCCTGTGTTTACAATCATCTGCTCTTGGGCAGCCTCCACATGAGATTCAATTAATTCTAAAGGAAGGTGATGAGCTGTGAAAATGTCAATGTTCCTGTGCAGCAGGCATGATTTTGTAAACACATTTCATATGGAATTATATTGACAGGTAGAAAGGTGCACTTTCGATCTATCACACACAGGTCAAAAATCAAAGAGATTTCAGGAGTGAAGACTTGGAATATGTGAAGCTGCATATATAACACACACAGAAGTGAAAAAAAGAAAAAAAGAGAGTATAGATCAATCAAAGATCTATTATACAGCAAAATCATTTCAATTGTTCTGCTATCCACTTATCGAAAGAGAGACCTAGGTTCGAATCCTAGTTAGGCCATGGATGTTTGTGTTTGTATGTATACCTAACCCCGCACAAGTTTCGACTTATGGGCACTGAACTATACCCTACAAATGGAATGCCGATGCATGATATCAATAATACGCTCATTTGAACCTCGCGCAGACATGGCGAATTTAAGGTTGTGAGCATGCGCACTCATATTGAAACCAGGGCCGGTCTTGCCAATAAACGTTTATTTCTTGCCCATTGAAGTATGTTGAATTATAATGTATAATAGTGATAACTACCCTTTATAGACAGTGCCACGAATAGCGAAGATACAGATTATAGGTACACAATAGTGTGAACTAATCAAACTTTAATAATCTTTTTAGCAAAATACAATCTGTCGTTTTTCTTTTTAACTGACAATTCCTTTATTTTTCTTCCGTCAACCTGACATCCTACCCTCGCACACTTTACCGTTATCATTCGTCCATCCTGACTATGGTTTTTGTCCCCAAAAACGAGTTGAATTGAAACAAAGAAAAGTGATAAAAAAAACTAAAACTTCATTCAGTAATGAAATCTTCAAATTTCTTGGGCCTTCTCCGATTTCTCGTTGGTCTCAGACATGCTTCTTCTTCTCCAGGACTTTTCTCCTCTATGATGTCTGGAACATAGTCCGGATCTTCTTCATATTCGTTTTCAGTTTCGTATGGTTCACAATGATCTTGAGACAATATTTCAGTTTCTAATATCGGTGTGCCTTCCAAAATATCTTCTTCATCACTGCTCTCATCATTCATTTCCTCATCCTCAATAGCATTTCTGTATCTTTTTAGCTGTGAAATATGAGCATTAGTACGAAAAGACTTATTTCCTTCTTCTAAATTTAGACTTTCTACTTTGTATATATCATTTCCCATTATTTTAATGATCACTAAAGGTCCTCTGTACTTCGATTGTGTCTTAGTTGGCTGTCCAGTGGACACATGAGCTCTCTTCATCACGACAATATCTCCTACTTCATAAGATTCTTCAAATTTTTTACAATCATACCTATCCTTATATTTCTTCTTTTTTACTTCAATTTTTTTCCTTATATCTTCATGAATTTTCTTTGGTTCCTGGTACATTTCTTGTGCAATATTATACGCTATTTTCGCATCTTCGTAACGTGGTGTATAACCATGAAGACTTTTGAACGGTGTTTTACCCGTAGTTCCATTCACTGTGTTATTCAAATGTCTCTCCATATTTTTAATATTTTTGTCCCATGACTCTTCGTCATCCTTGGTAGTGGTGATAACTGCTTCTTTGCAATAATTCTGGAATACTCCGCAAGTAAAAGCTGATCCTCTGTCTGTAACTGCTATTCTTGGGATTCCAAACTTCAGTACAAAGTTCTTTAACATCATTACTGTTTCTTTTCCTGTTGTAGTTTTTACTGCATATAACTGGACGAATTCAAATGGAGCGTTACTCAATCCAAAAACCATTCTCGTGAATTGCCCAGTATCATCATTTGTTATGAAAGCTGTTTTTTTCTGTGCACTCTCGGTTAGAGGAACTTGAAGGTATCCACTAGCTAAGTCCAGAGTAGAGAATAAACAACAGCCACTTAATCCTTCGAATTGTTCGTCAATGAGGAAAACTGGACTCGCATAAGCCGAACTTGGTTCTTTGACAATCCCAACATCCTTCCATTCTTGAACGATTCTAGAAATTTCCATACGATCGTCTGGAGTCGTTTTGTATGGTCTTGCTCGAACGGGAATATTGTTATCTATAATGTCCATCTGAGCCACCTTCGTACAACCAAGTTCCTTCAAGTTCAAAGCAAAGGTGTCTCGAAATTCGTTCACAAACTCCAACAATTTTTCAAAACACCTATTTGAAATATCAGAATCCACATTGCTCATATCATCTGTAAGAGGTTCTTTTGGTTTTGCGAATGAATTTTTATCATTCATTTCAATTCTATTAATGCAAAATAGATTATCTCCTTCCATAACTTGACAGTCTTCCCTGGAATTGTTCACTATAGAAACATGTAAGTCAACCCCATTGCATGTACTGTTTACAAAACCCACAGTATCATTTAATATAATTGTATCATACTGTGAACAGACATGTTTGGAATCATTATCGCAAAGCTGCAACTGACAAAACGGGTTTTCATTTGCGTATTTAAATATCAACGCATTTCCTATTCTATAATAAGCAAGACAATTTAACTCAGTAAAAGTTCTTGCTAGCAAAACATCCATATTTTGGGCAAAATCTGGAACAACCCATAAATCGACATTTTCAACAACAATATCATCCATGATTATTTCAACAATTACCTTCTTTTGACAATTAACTGGATTTTCTTGTCCAAAACCAAACAATTTTCTACTGGAATCTATACTGATCAATTGCCCACTAGTTACCAAACTTTCTCGTATGGTACACACAGCGCTACCAGGATCAATGAGAGCTGCTACTTGGAGATGTCTATCAATTTCGATTTCACGTATGAATTTCTCAATAGAATTATTACAGTTTTCCTCCAGATTAATTAGCGATTGTATAATTTTTTCTTTGCTGCCTGAATCGGATGGTTCGTTTTTAGAAGGGCAATCTCTCCGGAGATGTCCCTCACCTTTGCATTTATAGCAGGTGAATTTCCTTGTTTCCTTTTCTTCTATTCTAGGATTAGTGTTCAAAAACTCTGGTTGTTTTCCGACTCTCTCTGGCGCGGAACTGCTTGAAGAATCTTGTTCATTGAATCCATTCGAGTTTCTAGAAAATGTCTTATAACTCCCAGGAAAATGCCGTCCTTGTGCTTGACAATGGATTCTATCAAATTCATGAATATCATGTAGAAGAGCATCTTCATCTACATGAGCAGCTGCTAGCAAACCAGGAATTATTTGCTTATTTGCCAAGCCTATTACCACTTGCTCTTTGATCTCATCAAAATCCAAGTTCAAGTCCTTGCACAGTTTAACTTTGTAGTGGAAATATGAGAATAGTGATTTTCTACCTTGAACACTTTTTTCCATTTCTCTCCATAACTGAGTCTTGCTTTCACGGACGTTGAATGTTTTACCAAATTTAAATTTGAAATCAGAAAATGTCTTGATTATTCCTGCGTTTCCATTAAACCAATCCTTTGCAGTTCCAATCAAATGTGTTTTTGCTGTTTCTAATTTGAATGTGTCAGGCCAGTTGTGTAAAAGGGCGGTGCTTTCCAATCTCTCTAACCATCCCATCGCCGATCTCCCCAGAACTTCACCATTGAAATTCTCGATAGTCTTGCTGAAATCTGGCATTACTTGGAAATTGGTTGTCTCCGAAACTGATCTGGATACCTGTCCTTGGATAAATTGGAAAAATCTATTTTCGCTATCTTGCCTGTTCCGTTCCATAGTCAGCATCATGTCCATTAATTTATCGACTAGTTGATCTTGTTTTCCATCAGTATGACCACCGCCAGTTGATGATGGTTCATCACGAACACTACCTTCGTCTAGTGTTATCAAAGGAGATTGTTTTCTTCCGGAATCATCCATTCCAACAGATCTTCCTTTACACAAACGTGAGGTGAATTCTTGACCACTTCTGAATTGATAACTACCCTTTATAGACAGTGCCACGAATAGCGAAGATACAGATTATAGGTACACAATAGTGTGAACTAATCAAACTTTAATAATCTTTTTAGCAAAATACAATCTGTCGTTTTTCTTTTTAACTGACAATTCCTTTATTTTTCTTCCGTCAACCTGACATCCTACCCTCGCACACTTTACCGTTACCAATAGTTTGTGAATTTACATTTTTCGAAGACTGTTATCAAATGTTGACATTTGAACACAAAATACTTCGGCGTTATTTTGCCGAGCTTCGTAAAAATTATCATTCGAAAATATATTTTTTCTTTGATGGAATTAATATTTTTATCTGGAACAGAGAGAATAGACAACAGACTTTGAAGCTCAAAAAATTGAAATTTTGTTCAAAAGGTGAAAAAGGGTAGCAAGTACACATTCTCACCAAATGAAATTAAATTATACATATAAATATAGGTAGGTGAATAATGCTAATATATTTTTCACCTCGTTTTTCACTGAGTAATAATATTGAAAACATTAAATAAAACATTGAATAGGCAACTACATTTTTATTGAATAATTACCAACCGAAAACATTTTTTTAAGGCAAGATAGACGCAAATACATTTTAGGAAAGACAAAATGAAATACATTCTGTTATTCATTAAACATTTTTTGTTATTGGAATATGTGAAATCTTCATTGGAGAAATGTTCTTCACATATACAGTTGGCCTGGCTAAGTTTATCAACTTTAGGATCTCTACCCAGTGCCTGCATCCATGAGGAATATCTCTTTTGAGTCAAGCTGAAAACACAAAAAATATAATGTTTTTCTAAAACCTATCTTTATTCATATATACTAAGGTAAAGCTGGATTTATAGATTCAACTGAACTGAGAATTAAACTAACAACTGTGAACTCAGGTCAGTTATATTAAGAATTACAAAGTTGGCCAACTTTCAACTCAACAACTGAGAATTAGGAGATTCTGGAGACATAACATGAAGATTGGATTCATATTATTGTTCAAGTGGAGTTTGGTGTGATATTTTTTCTTATGGATTCATGAATTGTGGGGACCAAAATCACTTGTTAACATCATTATGATTTTTAATCAAAAGACATTTCAGATCTAATTCCCAGATTATCTCAGATATGTATAAACACCCTTATGATTATTAATTGTTGATTGTTAATTCCTGATTGTAGTTCTGAAAAATTGTTGTTCTTATTATCAGCTATATACTGGTATGAATTCACATCTATTATTCTAGTACATTCGAGTTTGTTTGATAACTTACTTGAAATAGGATAAACCTTGTTTTCTTTTTCGATTTCGGCACAAGAACACCATGCATCCCTGGCCCATATTGTCTAATAATAGTCTTCAAACTGATAAGTCACCAAAATCACGATCACAACTCAAAAATATAAACGAAACTCACGAAACAAACAAACAAACAATAATAACGGTGTGGCAGATGATGGGCACAAAAATATTCAAGCCTCTCCTGATGGGATCACACCTAATCAACGACATACGTCTGCGGCTGTGAGAAATTTCAATAATCACGGACATACTTTTCATATCTTGGTTCTACTGCGCCGATGCAGAACCTTAAGGTCAAGATCTCCTGGGAGGCGTAAAATTTTCACGCGCAGGTGGCTGCATCAGCATTCCATTTGTAGGGTATAGTTCAGTGCTTATGGGGCGTTTGGTCCCAGTGCTGGGACAAACGAGGTATGCAATTGCGAAAAAAAAAAAAAAGAAGGAAAGTGACCCCCTAAGGAACAGTACCTACATGCAGGGTCAAGTAGTAAGGACGAAAATCAATGGGAAATTCATTCTGCTTTCATGTAATTCAAGTTAATTTCACAGGGTATATCAGTCTCTTTCGTTTTTTGTTTCGAAGCCAATGAACTCAATGTGAACAACTATTGCATGGTACTCAGAAACACTGGTGAGTTCATTGAATTTTAATATACCATCATGAGAACTGAATACTAACATTAATTTTGAATTATTTCAGGCTATACTTGCTACTTCATTCTTACATGTAGCAAGGAGTCTCGGGAAAAAAGGCAATCAACTTCTTCTTTCCAAAGGATTTTACAAATAAATTTGTTCAGCATGGAGTTGAATATGAATCCACAGCTCTTTTGAAATGTTTATATTCAAAATAATATTGGATTTCAAATCATGCAAACAAATTTGTGTCCTAATATTTTCCATGGTTAGAGGTTTGTTGAATAATGCGTATAACATTCAGCTTGAATTATTTTCTCAAATTTTCAGGTGAAGAAAATATTTCAGAACATTTCGTGGAACAATGTCATTTCTTGATAGGAGATGGTATAAGAAATGTGAAGTTGGAAGAAAGACACACTTATTATGGATAAATTCAGTTGGAAATAATGGCCCTAAAATGTCCCTAATGAACTTGAAAGAACCAAATTTTCTTGCATAATTCTCCTTTGTCCAAAACTTACATCGAAATTTCAGATGATTTTATGAAACATTTTGTATTACTCTCATAAGGAAGATATCTTAAAGACATTCTCATCATGTTGTTTCATTGCATTAATAGAATGGAATGAATTGTGAGTATGACTTCTTTATTGATTCATTTTCTTATTATCTCATTTTCAAACAATAATATTTTCCGAATTGATACTGAAATAAAACCATTGAGTTAGAATCATTCAGTTTATCCAGTAAAAAATCGTCTTTAGTTAATTGTTTCTTCTTTCTCAGAAATGATGGCCTTATCAATTTCAAGAATTTTCCTTCGCATCCCTTGTCAGCATGCCCTCATACACCATGATTTCATTATTAGTTTCAGGCTTCCCAATAACATTTTCTTCATTAAAAAGTGCTTCATCAGTAGCTGAACCTCCATATCCTTAAATGCCAACAGTTATCAGTCCTGATGGAGTGATATTGCAATAAGAATTTGACTGAGTTTTTATAATGTGTCTGTACAACAGAAGCACTGAGGAACATAACATATCTTTCTAGATTTCTCTTTTCAGTCTTTTGTACTTGCTGCATGTTTTGGGAAAACAGTAAACTATCTCGTGAATACAAAAACATATTGCAAAACTTCAAAATTTATCAAAATTCACTGGATTGCACAATGCTAAATTTGTTTGTTTTGTTTATCACCTATGCCATTTTCATTTTGCCGCTCGACAAAAGACGACTGGGGAAACAGTGACGTCAGGCCAGAGAAATATGAGGCATCCTCATAGAGATAAATAGCCTTGAAAGGTATATTATCTTAGTTGGATGTACCAAGGATGTACCTATATAAAGACGCGTACACGAACAACTGTTATAAACACTGACTGATGATGCATACACGAACACCTATAGAAAAAACATAACAACCCTAATAACACACTTATGTCCCATGGATATCCATTCAGGACGTCCATAGGACGTTCGAATTTGGTACCGTGGACGTCCATTGGACGTCTGTGGGACGCACAAATGTCCCACTTGAGGACCAACTAGGGACGTCCTTGAGGGATGTCCCTGGGACAACTATCGAATACCTAAATCCTACAGTATCCCTCATCAAGCACTACAGAGGACATCCTTAGGACATCCATTGGACAACCTATCAACAACGCTGAGGGATATCAATTGGATGTCCATAGGATGTGCCAGGGACGTACGAATTATTCTTCAATTTAGATTTTTCTGGGTCCCTCTAGGACCAGATCTTGCATAACTGATTAGGACATCCAGTTGAGTTGATGGACCGTAGAAGGTCCCCAAAAAGTGTCCCAAGGATGTCCAATGGACTAACGTGAAGGACATTGACGGCGAGGTGTAAGTTAACGTCCTCGCAGGGACAACATATTGAAAGTACCGACTGGGACGTCCATAGAACGTTATTTCTGGGACATTGGAAGAGTACAGTTCATGTACCAATTGGGACATCCGACGGATAACCCCAAGGGACATTCAAAGGATGACCCTAAGGGATATTTCGATTGTTATACGATCCTGAAAATATTAAGGGTGTCTGTGCAGAGATAAGAAGGAATGTACCATCAGGGATATTCCATGGTTGTCCAGAAGGGACATTATATAAGATCTGAAGTCATGCCAGAATATGTACTACTCGACATCCGATGTATGTCCCTAAAGGAACGTTTAAAATCATATCCCATCAGGGACATGCCAAGGACGTCCTTGCATGGACATTCTACAATATGTACCACGTAGGACGTCTAAGGGATGCTATTTCTAGGACAATTGAAATGATGTACCAGCTGGGACATTCCGTGGACGTCCTTGCTCGGACATTGCATGAGATGTACGGTATGGGACGTCCCAAGGACACTTATTTTTGGTTCGGGACATTCGGACGTGAACTGTACCAAATAGGGACGTTCCAAGGACGTTGTGTGCTATTAGGGAAAAGATATGAGCTAAACCTGATAGTGTTTTCTTATTATTCTGAAATATTGGAATGAATAGTATATGTGTCAAAATATCAAGTGAAATACATTGTTGAAGTTAGAATTGATTGCACTCCACTAATAAACAAGATATGTATAGGGTGTCACTTGAAAAAATGAAGTTGGGGGTTGTTTTTCAATAGTAGTTTGACAGATAAGTTTACTTCGAAATAATAGTTGCGTTTTATTTATCCGATCCCGCCACCGGAACCACTTTGATTTGTCGTTTTATTTGCAACTTTTTCGATTCCGGTTGCTACTTTCCATTCCGTCTCACTACCAGAGATGACGAGGAACGATGACAGTTGTCAAAAATCAAATTAGATTGTCAATAAAACAAAACTGTCTGAAAGTAGAGGACATTTAGAAGACATTTTTATCGTAAGATTAGTTACCAGGAATCAGGAACACAAAACTATCACCATAATTTTAATATGGATCAAATTACTCAATCAGATCATCGTACGTATTTTGGGCCCATA